GTGATTCCTCTCCACCGACACCTGCTCCTGTTCCACAGGGTACACAAAACACTCAGACTGCAATCTATCATTGTGTGTGGGGAGAGAAACTCCCTCTGGAGGGAACACAGGGATTGTAGCCTTTGCACACCATTTACATGCACTAAAACCTATATAACACACTAGGAGAGGAAAAAACCCAAAAGGATCGACTCTACTGTGAATTATTATCATTACTATTATGGTTTAACTTTTGGTGTTGTAAATGCAATACAGTATACATCAGCACAAGACAATATTTTAGGCCAAAATGAATCCTTTATATGAGTTCATTTCAATCAATTTGAAAGAAATAAGCTGTTCTTTTGTCCTCCAGGTTCGCCTGCCACAGGTGACGAGTGAGTCCTACCTGCTGGTGTGTGCCAAAGGGGGGGAGCTCCAAGCATGGCAGAGAACCTGTTACACTGAACTCTCCTGAACGCATTTTCAAGGTGGCATATAATGACTTCTCCTAATATAACAAGACAAAGGACTGAGGCCATGCTTTGCCGGAAACAGAAAAAGCAGGACTGCAAGGGGAGCTGCAGAGGGTGTCAGTACTGTACACAACTTTTTAAATGAAGTGTTCCAACTGATATGAGAAGAAAGGGGGCTCAGACTGCTGGTAGCTATAATGAGGAAGAAATGATGATGATGATGAAATCTTCTGACCTACCTTGCCTGCTTACCAGATGGACAGTCGTGATAGAGATGCACTGAGTTTTGAGCACAGTGAGAAAAACACTCACTTTAATGTGTGACAATGACAATCAGGTTTTGGTGATACACAGAGGGTTAGAATCTATTTTGTATCATGTATCTGCACCTTTGGGGGTTTTAGTCTTGTGTTGCACTCCTTTAGGCATGTTTTTGCTGTGCCTGTATTTATATTCAAGGGTTACTAATAATGACCCAGATATATTTGTATATTAACTTGGGCCATACCATCATAGGCTGTGAACGTGTAAAGGGTGTGCTGCATAGACACAGGCAAACATTATGGAGGATTGAGATTAATCATTTCACTATTACAATTTATCTCCCTATACAATTGTCTAAGTGGCTATTTCAAAGCCCTCCACACATTGCCAGAATTATAATTATGATTATAGTTGAACGTGTTTGAATTTGTTTGGTGTAAATTTGTAAGATTTGAGAAATAACCAGAATCAGGCTTAAAAGCCTATGATGTATAATGTGTGTTTTATTGAAGAATGTGAACTTGTCCTCAGGTGGATATGAACCCCTACATTTCCTCAAGCAATAAGGATGATATGACCTTGTTCTCTCTACATCCCCAACCTTTACAGTGATAGTGACCTTCAATTCTGCCATTAAAACCTGTTAAGTCCCAAAGCCCCCCTCGGCGGGGGCTCTTTTTTTCTTTTCACGACACTGGGCAGGTTGCCTTTTCATGGCATCTTAATATTTAAGAACCTATTAATGTGTTATACCAGATTAACGGGAATAATCTCAGCTAACTGACGATACAAACCATTTTTACCAAAACAAAACACAAGTCTCATAAGAAGCATCTAAATTACCCCTGAGCGAAAAATGCTAACGGACATTGGCACAGAACTCAAGATAAAAGATACCCTTATTACTTATCGTAGCTGCACATACAAGATATCCGATTAAAGCTGAGGTTCCACAGATTATTTAGGTATATATATCATCACTGAGTGATCCGAACTCGCGACAGGGGAAGCAAACACAGACATCACAACACGTACCTTACGTAGCTTTTACGGGAGATCGTCTCACCGTAGCTGTCAATCTGATCAAAAGACGTGTTCAATGGCATTAAAACGAGAAACAACGCGGCTGAATCGGTTAATCCATAGGTTGATAATGTTTCTGTGAAATAATATTTTTGAATATATAATCCATAATTCCATTTTTATGTAAAAATCGGAGAGTAAAAATTAGCTGCTAATGGTAGCCACCAGAGTTATCGCAGTTTACGGTTTTGGCTATGCGTCAGTCTAACACACACACATTACCAAATAAGGAGTATGTGGGAGTTCCCCTCGATTCCATTGGCTCTGACGGTTAGAAAGAGATGTCAATCAGCAAAATCGAGCAAGGGGGACCAGAGATAGGTCAAATCCACCCAAATGACCCCAGAAGTGTTTTTTTTGTGCTAAATCTCTCTAAAAAGGTCAAATTTCACTTGTTTTGCATCAATCTTGATACAGGGTACTTATTGTATGTTGTAGTTTGGATTCCTAAAGCTTTTAGTCTACCATCCCATCATTCAAGGGTGGTTTTCACCATAAGTATTATTTTTTTTGGACGGACACAATAATTTACATTTTTTTACTGTGTTCAATCTGAATTTACTTTAAAATAAAAACATCTATATTGATTCTGACACTTCTACATCCAACTCACAGGTGTAACCTTGCTTTGAGAAAAAAGATTATTAATGTACAACCCTTTTAGAAGGGAAGATATGGTCATTTGTTCTGGGAATGTCATTTTCGAGCCTGAGACCTGAAAAACAGGCTCGGGGCTTAACAGGTTAAAAGTTGTATTGAAAACAAAACATGAACTCAAATTTGAAACATTGATGTTCTTACACTTGCATTCAAAAAGGTTGTATTTACACTGAAAAATGAATGGCACTGAAACAATTAAATACTGTCTTTAAACATTATTGTATGTTTTATAATTAATTATGTAAGCATTCTGATATCCAATATTTTTGTATAAGCCCTGGGAGAGGATGTTAGGATAGGATCACCATTTTTGAAAGTAGTAAAAGAAAAGGAAAAAGGAGGTGGGATACAGATACCCCCATGATATTAATTCAATTTCTGGTGTTTATTTCTTACAGTCATAGAAACCTCCTTAAGTTTATTATTGAGCAAAAATGTGTTAACGTTTCACCAAATATGTTTCCATGAAGTGAATTAACAACAGGAAGTTTAACCGGTTACACATATCACATGACTTCTTCTTCTGTAGTTTTACCTATAGACTGTATTGGGTAAAGCAGTGATGGAAGAAGTACTCAGATGTTTTACTTGAGTAAAAATAGCAATACTATAAAAAATATTCTGTTACAAGTAAAAGTACTGATTTCAAAATCGTACTCAGGAAGAACTACAAAAGTATTGGCATCAAAATATAATTCAGGTACCAAAAGTAAATGTTATGCGTAATGGCCCATTTCAGAATTGAATATTTTATATAACTGGGTTGTGATTATTGATGTGCTAGTGTGTTTGTCAGCTAATGTTAAGTGCTTTATTTAAAGCTGCTGGATATGTTTGTCTCTTTTAACCTATATTGACACAGGGAGAAAATGACTTCTTTATTAATTAATAATGGCCATATAGTCAAGCACCTCAGAATATAGTGCATTTTGTGTTTTAGACACGGATAAATCAGATGTTAAATGCTGCAGAGTTTTACCTGTGTTCATTTTTAGAAAAGTGTGCAACGACCACACTGCTGTATCATGTTCATGTTCATCTTGACTATAATGTGATTTACATCCTTTTTTTAGCCCTGTGTGACCCTCAATGTCAGTGCTCCCCACACACTGCCCTTTATTTTTATAAGAATATAAAACATTTCCTTTAGTGAAGGTAAATAAAGAGTGTTAGAGATGTAGGCTGTTTCGTTATTTGAAACATTCTCCTTGTCCTCTGCTATTATAGAAGACACCTTTCTCTATAACACAAATACACTGTTAGTGTAGTAGTCAAACACACTCAGCTAAACACCGCCATCTAGCGGGCAAGATAAATCATTACATCTTCAGAAAGAGGGACATATTCTTTCGGAGTTTAAAGGTCCCATACTATGGAGGACGGAACATGACTTAAGTATAAATAAATAAATGTATGAAGAAATACAGGAATAAATAAATAAATACGTAAATTAATAAATAAATACAGGAATAAATAAATACAGGAATAAATAAATGACGAAATAAATACAGAAATAAATAAATGTTGAAATGAATACACAAATAAATAAATAAAAGAATAAATGCATACATAAATGCATAAATAAATATGGAAATAAATACATCAATGTATAAATAAATAAATAAAAGTCGAAAATAAAACAGAACACACGTTATTATATATCTTTCATTTATTTCTACATTTACGCAACATACATTTATTTATTTATGTATTTATGTGTCCGTATGCTAATGAGGTGGGCGGTCCTAACCTCAGTCTGAAGCAGGATTGGTTACAGGAGTGTGTGATCATTTCTGGCAGAGGGCTCTACTACTAACGCCTGGATAACCGCGGCTGATTCGAATGCAGGAGCTTTACTGTTTAGCCCTTATCTTTATACATCCATGGTTATCCACAGGTTGTAAGGTTTATTTATGGATATTGATTTAAGAGCCATTGGAGATCATTTACGATCATTAGCGGACCATTTAGAGAACGGAGAACCAAAAGATTATGTCCAGTTTCGTGTGGAACGATGTATAGAGGACTTGGCTCAGCTCGACATGATGTGACTTGCCACAAATCTATTGCTTCTGCCTGGCTCCAACAATTGGCGAATCCTGCTTCAGACTGAGGTTAGGACCGCCCACCTCATTAGCATACGGACACATAAATACATAAATAAATAAATGTATGTCGCGTAAATGTAGAAATAAATGAAAGATATATAATAATAACGTGTGTTCTGTTTTATTTTCGACATTTATTTATTTATACATTGATGTATTTATTTCCATATTTATTTATGCATTTATTCTTTTATTTATTTATTTGTGTATTCATTTCAACATTTATTTATTTCTGTATTTATTTCGTCATTTATTTATTCCTGTATTTATTTATTTATTTACGTATTTATTTATTTATTCCTGTATTTATGTACGTAATTTATTTATTCCTGTATTTCTTCATACATTTATTTATTTATACTTAAGTCATGTTCCGTCCTCCATAATTCCCTTCATCTGGCTTCATCCTTCAGTAAGGAGGACTACACTTCCCATGGTCCTTCAGAAGTCGGAGCTTGCGCAATATGTTTTGCAAATTTGCACGGCCCTGGCTGCTGGCAGTGAATGTTTAGTGTTGTTGTTTTCACATTAAGGGGGAAGAGAAAGAATACCCGAAGTTAATAATACCGCAGGCTGGTCGCATGAGGTAAGGAATACGCCGCGGTTAGGGAGTTGTCTTGGAAAAAAACACACAGTTACATTAGTTGTTAAGCGTTAACAGTAACTGTTAGCTAGCAACACAGACAGGGGAGCTAGCAGAGCACTAAACCAAACGAACGTCAATTAATATGATACAAGGGGCATCATGCTCACCAGACTAGCTACATGACAAAGGGTTTCATTAATAAAAAAAACGTGATAGCTTTGGAGCAAACCAGAGACAGCCAGCTAACCCTGACTGCCTGCTATCACCCATGAGCTAGCGTTAACCCACGAAGCCATTGCTAACGTTAACTTACACACAGTCATGTTACCGAAAGACGCTGTCTGAATTAACGGTTGAATTTAACCGTGTTACAGACGTGTGTTATTGACCAACACCAAGTATGTTTGAGAAGTAATTTAAGGGACTTTTCTGATTATAATGCATAAATCAAAAGACAGAAGTTAACAAGATATTGATGTTAGCTATGCTTTCTTCATTTAAATAATAACATCAATTATTAAACCTGTAGGCCCTATGTAGTGGGAAACTAGTTTGTATCCTGTTTGTCTCTTTTTAATTTATATTTAATATTAAAGGGCCACAAAAACTATTCTTAGTATTAAAACAACGTAAAGTTATAATGTTCAGAACAAAGAACACGCTTTTATTAAAACTAGGGCTGGGGGATATGACAATCAAATATCACCATATAATTAATCAAATACCTTGATATCGATATTGTATACATTTCACAAAACATTTCATCTTACACACTTACTTTTCTGTCATCAGTTATGTGGATATATATAATGGCTCAAGCAAGGCAAGTAATACAACCAAAAGGTTAACAATAAGGTCTTATATCACTGTTTATCATTGACAAGAATGTTTTTGTGTATTCATCTAATACTTTCCTTTGAAGTAAATTAAAAGCTATGTAATAATGGAAAGTTAAAATGTAATGTCTACACATGGAAAAACTGAAAATAAGAAATGCAAGGTTGCTATTGCTAAAAAGACAGGTGATGATTAGTTGCATGAATGCTAAATCCTGCTAATGCTGTTGGATAAAGTTGACCTTGGTCGGAAAACTAAGTAAACAAAGCTGCCTTTATATAATATTAAAAACAAATGCACTATGTTCATGATCTAGAAACTGTATTAACAAGCATATCAAAGTGAGTCTTCTGGTGGTTAGATCTACATTTTTTAAAGGTTATTGTACATTCCTAAAAAAGTTCCAACCGCTAACTCTTGTCCTGGATGTTGCAGGTTACTGGGTGAGCTCGTCCCTGCCATGAGAGCTGACCACCAAGTCACCAGCCCCCCCTCCTTCTGCAGTTGATGGATCTGCAGCTGGTCCAGAGATGACAGACAGCGTCAGGGCCTTCCTCCGCAATGTTGCGACGGTCAGAAGACACACACACACACACACACACACACACACACACACACACACACACACACACACACACACACACTGTACATAAGCCATGAAACAAAGCACAAGGGTTTAATTTATTTACAAGGATACAGATGCATGAAAAATAATGTATTCACTTACAAATTTAATGTAAAAAGATGATCAAAATGGATGTTTTTGGTTTAAAAGTGGTGTTCGAAACATTTAAGTCAAGAAAACATGTGGTGCACATCCAGAACTGGAGAGCAGCACCATAAATGCAACCTTTGCATGTTTTAATATCCATTTATACAATAACTGCTACCTTAATAAAGACTAAAGTGTCACATACATTGTCTACAAAAAGGGTCAGACATATCCTGTGAACATGCAGAGATAGTCGTACGCTTTTCGCCAGGGACTTGTTTTTCCCCTTGAACTTTATCATTGTGTACAATCAGCTTTAAAGTCAATATGTCCCAAAGAGTCCAAAGGTAATGTTTATTTTTTAAATAATTAAAGATATATATTTTATTATCATTAATCATGTCTCAGACCTTCCTATAAAACCCCAAAAGGTTCAATATAATTAAATTGCGTATAAGAATAAATAAGAAATAGTTAAATAATATAAAAATTATATTAGAACTCAACTCACAATTATGACATTTCTTATTTGTATCACTGTATTTTTGATATGCACATTAAACTGCAGTAATGTTGACTAGAGCAACCAGAGACTCTGAATAATCCAGTTTACATTAGCTGCTTCTGTTAAAACGTTATCTTAGTCTTAATTTGTTTAATTAATAACAGGAGACTTCAGTGTTGGAGCAGCAGCCTCTTGGGTTTTTCAACTTTTGTATCAGATTTAGCCTGAGCCTAAAAGAGCTTCAGTTACTTCTTCTGCCCTTCAAACTGGCAGAAGAAACAAAGTGTTGTTTTAGCACCTTTTGAACCATCAAGTCTTAAATATTGTTATGGGATGTGTCCTCAAAAACCATTATCAATGTCATTCTTGTGTTTAACAGGCACTAATTGAGGTATAGCAAAGCTCCATTACGGCTATTTTTCCAGTTATAAACAAATACCGTGTAACACCACTGTGACTGTGTATTCTTTTTCCATCTGGTTCTCTAGGGGATCAAGGACTCCATATTGGGGATTGGAACAATCTCCAAGCTGGATGCCCGCATCCAGCAGAAAAGAGAGGAGCAGCGGAGGAGAAGGGCCAGTGGGGCCCTGGCACAGAGACGGGCCCAGAGCGAGGAGCGCAAACCCGACAAGTAAGACATATAAAAGCTGCACATTTTGGTTGCCATGCTATTGATTTTCTTACTAAGCCAGATTGACATATGCTCGTGGATGTTTTATTGTGCCTGGATATGTCATTGTTGTTTATAGGATTTATTACGATACCATACGATAATACTTAAATGAATTAGCCGCTCTTAAATTCTAAATAGCTGGATGTTGGGAGTTGCAACGTGACATGCACTTTTCCCACAACCTCCAGCGGTCAATAAGCCATACCTTAAGCCATCACACGGTTAGTTTTTCTGGTGCTCTTAGCAAAAACACATAAAGATGAAAAATGTAAAGTAGAGTAGAAAGTATGATTTTATAAAGGTTTAAGAGTTTATATAGCAGCAGAGAAAAAAAAGATGAAGAGGTAGGAGAAATATTCTCCAAATGCTACTTTTTTTTTAATGATGGTTTGACAATTTATTCAACAGAGATCTTAATTTCATAACAAAGCTTATTCAAAAGTATACCATGTTTATTGACACGTGTTATTGTAGCACAAATGCATCTAAGCAGCTCTAATCTGTTACCATACATACCTTTGAGTAAAGAACCAAAAGCCTTCAGTGTGCTAACAGAAATCCATGTGTCTGTCTGCTTCTGGTTAAGTAAGGAACATTTTTTAAATGAAACAAATATTCATACAATATTTGACATTGTTTTACTCTCTTGTTCAGTGACCCCAAAGTAGCCAGCAGGATCTTCCAGTGCTGTGCCTGGAATGGAGGAGTGTTCTGGGTAAGATATGTTTACCTGCTGTTACAGCACAGCCTCGTCACACACCACTGAATATTTCAAAGGTGAAACAAGTTGTTCCACGTGAGACATATAACATTAGTATTTGAATTTAATGTCATTTTTTAAGGCTGATGTAAACATGAAAATACTTTGTTTTAGTACCTCTTGAAGAGGAACCATGAGTTGGAGAGTAACTATAGTATGTGTTGTCTCTCTCCAGCTCAGTCTGTTTCTCTTCTACCGGGTGTTTATCCCCCTGCTGCAGGCTCTCACAGCAAAAATCATTGGTATGTAAGTACACAGCGTTTATGTTTGTATGTAACTCTAGGGCAAGTTCTCTTATGTGAGGAACCAGTTAGTCAACAAGCTGTTTTTGCTACAGGTGACCCCTCCCTCCATGGAAGTGTGTGGTCCTGGTTAGAGTTCTTCCTGACCTCCGTCTTCAGCGCACTCTGGGTTCTCCCTCTGTTCGTCCTCAGCAAGATAGTCAACGCCATCTGGTTCCAGGTCAGGCTCTGCTCTGCTAGGCTGTAGTCATGTGATGGCTGAGCATGAGGCACTTCAAAACCAATGTATCGATTCCATTACACAGTCTGGCAGTCAATATCCACGAAGTTGCATCCCTAGTAAGAGTCTTAAATGGCTGCCCAAGGTACCATAATATATCATATGTTATAGAGCTGTGCAGGAATGAGTCCTAAAGCTGGATATGAGTTAGCTTTTTACCAATTCCAGTTCCCTCAAATCGGAATCTTTTAGTTTTTTGAACGTGTTTTTGGTTAGATCCCTGATCTGTGGTTAACACAAGCTTAAGAGATTTTCACTTTTTGGTCCACGACAAAAACGTGTCAGTAAATACACCTCAGGTTAATGTCTGAAGCTTCTACGTGTCATAAACACAGCGGATTTTTTAAACTTGTGTTTACCACAGATCTTATTTATTCCAATTCTATAGTTCAATGGAACAATCCCTTTGCTTTTTTTTTATCGATGAGCCCTTTGCGAAGCTAACTTCCAGGTCAGCCAACAAGAAAATGTGTCATCACTGCGCCACTCTATTGTCAGGGTTATACATGTTTTTTGGAATAGAGTTGGTGTTAAATATAGCTGACTTCAAATAAGCTGGGAATTATAAAGCCAGCCCTGCTTGTCCTATACTTGTTAAGCAAGTCCATTCATAATATGCAATTTGTCAAACTGATCCTTTATCAAAAAACACCAACGAGGTCAATATATTGAGGCTATAAACTTTTATTGAGAAGTGAGTTAAGCACAAGTCACCATTAAACTGTACTCCTGTGACGCCGCTGCCACACAACAGCTGCTTGAAATCTGCTGAGTCACCTGAAGATTTTTGTTATGACACATCATCAGGCTCACAACAGCATACACAAAAGCCTTTGAATAAACCGCAAATTCTGACTAGTTGCTTGAAGCATGTTGTCATAAAACTCTTAAGGACTTTTGTTAGTCCTTTTTAAATGGAAATAATTGTATTAAATACATATTAAAATATTGTTTTTGAAATAATCTCATTGCACATTAGATGACTTGTCGCTCCTCTAATGTCATATTGTCATCACAAAGCAATAGCAATTGAAATCTGAATATGACTGTGTTCCTATGCTTTGTTGACACAGATCTAGATATGAATGTGCTCCTCTCTGTTGCAGGATATAGCTGACCTAGCATTTGAAGTGTCTGGCTGTAAAGCGCAGCCGTTCCCCAGCGTCAGCAAGATCATTGCAGACATGCTCTTTAACCTCCTTCTCCAGGCACTCTTCCTCATTCAGGTACATTTGTGTAGACTGACACCTTGATATCCTTAAAAGAATGTCCCTGGCTCTCTGTATGTCAGTGCTGCTAAATCCCACTGTAGAGCATTATGCCAGAACATCAGTGTCTAATGCTCTTCAGTCACAGGACGTTTGAGTGGAGCATTCGCAGGAAAGCTGCTTCTGTGTTCTGTCACTGTAGGCCAAGATTCACCAAATGTTGGCTCAGTTTGCAAATGCTAGCAGTTTTCAGACAAAATCACAAAGTAATGCCGTTCATGACCGAGAGTTATCCAGCATGTCGGCCAAACAATATATTCCTACACTCTCGATTCCGAGAGTTATATCATTAGGAAAAAGCTATATACCTTCATACTTATCGAGTTGATTTCATTTTGACGTATTGAAGGACTTTTTTGCACAACAACTTGATCAACATTCATTTCTCTGGTTACATTTGTTCATAATATTACACAATACAAAGACCTACACTACAAAAAAATAGACACCAACACAAAAAAAGTGATCTTTATTATAACATGTATGACGCTATTGTGGACCATTCTCAAACCAACTCATCACGAGTACTGCTTAATCAATCAGCTTTTCAAACCGTCATAAAATATCAGCATGATCAATCATTTTGAACAATTATCACAAGGATCTAAATCTCTTCTCACTAAGATAAAGCTAATGAGATGAACATGTTCACATTCTCTGATGTGATCCTGCAGGGTGTGATTGTTAGCCTCTTCCCGATCGATGCCATTGGACAGATGGTGAGCCTCCTCCACATGTCTCTGCTCTACTCCCTGTACTGCTTTGAGTATCGCTGGTTCAACCATGGTGAGACGCTCACATTACATCCTACACCCAAATGATCCTGACTGAATGGAGAACTCAAACCTTACTGAGGCTGTTTGTTGAAGGTGTTGAGATGCACCAACGGCTGTCCAACATTGAGAGGAACTGGCCCTATTACTTCGGCTTTGGTTTGCCCATGGCTCTGCTGACAGCCCTGCCCTCCTCCTACATCATCAGGTAACACTCCTGATTAATCAGGAAAACACATGAATTGATATTAAAAAATAATCATTAGTGCCTGTGAAGCTGACCGTTGAGCGGCCCAGACCAAGCAAGGAGGCAGAGGCAGAGAATTCAAATATAACCCGGTGTGGGCATTTATTCATCGCTGTGGTACAGAATACACAGCCTCAATATTGCTGCCCAGGTGAACACAGTCACCAGCCACAAGGATCTCACCAGCCACAAGGATCTCACCCACACTAGCCTTCACCAAACAGGAAACACAGAGCCTAAATACACACCCACTAATCAGCAATTAGACACAGGTGAGGGGGAGCAATTAGACACAGGTGAGGGGGGAGCAATTAGACACAGGTGAGGGGGGAGCAATTAGACACAGGTGAGGGGGAGCAATTAGACACAGGTGAGGGGGGAGCAATTAGACACAGGTGAGGGGGGGAGCAATTAGACACAGGTGAGGGGGGAGCAATTAGACACAGGTGAGGGGGAGCAATTAGACACAGGTGAGGGGGGAGCAATTAGACACAGGTGAGGGGGGAGCAATTAGACACAGGTGAGGGGGGAGCAATTAGACACAGGTGAGGGGGGGGGAAGCAATTAGACACAGTGAGGGGGGAGCAATTAGACACAGGTGAGGGGGGGAGCAATTATACACTGGTAGGGGGGAGCAATAGACACAGTGAGGGGGGAGCAATTAGACACAGGTGAGGGGGGAGCAATTAGACACAGGTGAGGGGGGAGCAATTAGACACAGGTGAGGGGGGAGCAATTAGACACAGGTGAGGGGGGGAGCAATTAGACACAGGTGCGGGGGGAGCAATTAGACACAGGTGAGGGGGGAAGCAATTAGACACAGGTGAGGGGGGGAGCAATTAGACAACAGGTGAGGGGGGAGCAATTAGCAATTAGACACAGGTGAGGGGGGAGCAATTAGACACAGGTGAGGGGGGAGCAATTAGACACAGGTGAGGGGGGAGCAATTAGACACAGGTGAGGGGGGAGCAATTAGACACAGGTGAGGGGGGAGCAATTAGACACAGGTGAGGGGGGAGCAATTAGACACAGGTGAGGGGGAGCAATTAGACACAGGTGAGGGGGAGCAATTAGACACAGGTAAGGGGGGAGCAATTAGACACAGGTGAGGGGGAGCAATTAGACACAGGTGAGGGGGAGCAATTAGACACAGGGAAGGGGGGGAGCAATTAGACACAGGTGAGGGGGAGCAATTAGACCAGGTGGGGGGGGGAGGAGACAACACAGGGCACCAGGTGAACATAATCAGGAGGGGGAACACTTTTCAAAATAAAAGACATGTGCAATATACAAGGCCCGAAGCCGTTAGTCCACACGTCACTGTGCCATGTTTTAATCAAAGTGCATGTGTTATTAGGTTAATTCTGTAGCTGACCAACAGATTGACTTCTTTTAGTCTGGTCATTCCAAAATACGTTTTTTTACAGAATTTGCCCTCTATGAATATTTTGATAGCACTAGAAGTTACTTTCAAATTGAATTTCTTCGAATGCTTTTTTCAAATTAGTTTGTTCTTAGGATTCCATCTTTATCTATGTTTTTTTTTTTGTGGTTACATTGAACTTTCTCATTTGTAGTTCTGCTGTATGTTTTCGGACTTGTGTCTTTAAAGCACTTTGTTAACCTTTTTTGGAAAATGCTATATAAATTAAGATTCATATTATTATGCTAATCAATCTCACTGACTATTCTATGCCCATTATCACTAAGATTAACCAATCACACCTTTTTATTTGTATTCCTCAATAATGTTCCACACACACAAAAGCAAAAACAACAACAAAAATGTACATGACAACAATCCACTAGTAAATAATAGTCAAAAACACAAAGATATTTTTGCTTGAAAAATCCCCTCATGTTTTCTGAAGGCTAGGTTTCCCTTCCTGTATTCACTGTTTTTGGTTCTCTCTTTTCCACCTAGTGGCTGCTTGTTCTCCATCCTCTTCCCTCTCTTCATCATCAGCGCTAACGAGGCCAAGACACCAACAAAGCAGTAGTGAGTGTAACTTAAAACACATTTTCTAAAACGATATGTTTCTGTAATGCCCAATCCACTGATCACATTGATGTTTTCCACACAGCCACTTCCAGCTGCGTCTCTTCTCCCTGGTGGTGCTGATCAGCAACAAACTGTTCCACAAGACGGTGCACCTGCAGTCCGCCCTGCCGCCCTCCACCTCCTCTGAGAAGCTGGCATCGCCCCACACCTCCCCCACCCGCCACAGATCCCTCCCCCCACAATGATGAAGGAGATAGGAAAGCGGTTGATGAAAGTCGTGAAAAAGTGATTCTTCCACAGGGATTTCCTTAAGAGAAGATGATATGTGGTGTAGGATAAAGGGTTTACATGTTTTGGATTCATTGGTTCTTTATTTGCACCAAACACATTTTAAGAGTGACACAAAAATCGACTGCTGCGTGCCTCACACTCAACATTAGATACTCGGCTCTTTTCTTTTGTGAATTTCTTTTATTGTTTTTCTTTGTAAAATGTGCCATTTAAGTCACTCTCCTTAAAAATACATGACAGCACAAGAAATTATGTAGTTATAATCTGTTTAAGCAAACATGTGACGGAAGGACATTTTGGATTGAAGGGCCTTGTTTGCGTTCAGAAGCAAAGCACAGCCTCGCTGTACGTACAGTACATGTGTTCTTGATGTTGCAAGTCACATTCCTTCCTCACAGATAGAATGTTTTTTTGCACATGGATATGTTTTTTCTCTTCAAGCTGTTCCAGAAATAACCCTATCCAGTTAAAGAGGGAGGCTTGTATATTGTATCAGAGCTTTGTTTTTAGTAGAATATACAAAATCAGTTGAAGAGCTTCTATAAAGAAGGGTTGGTGACCTTGGTAACGGAAACCAAATAACAAAGCCACTCTTTTTGAGTGTTGACTAAAAGTTAGCCTGGTGTCTCATCCCAAATTGAATCTCACTCCACTGAGATTTACATTTTGCAAATCACAAAAGGACACCAGTTAAGGAAAAGCTGCCGTAGCGTTTGTCACTCGTTTGAATTGAGTAAGTGATAGGTGAGATGACGCTGCCAAACTGTTGCATTTGTGTTTTCTTTATTTCACATCAACCACTACAATGCTAAGCTCTGTAATGAAAGAAGGAGTCACATAGTCTTTATTCAACATCTGGGTGATCGGCCTTGACCCGCTTGCTCTAGTTATCCCCTAGACTGAGAGCTGAAGCAAATATAGCTGGACCCAACAGATCATCGGCTGTTCAATTTCTGTGTGATATCCCAAATGTTCAACCAGAGGCCCACCACCATGCAGATACCCTGTCACCAAGCTTTCTGTCACTCATGGCCACGGGGAGGGCCAGGATTTTGAACTGATGTGCAATTATTGTAAGAAGAGCATAGTGTTTGTGCAGACTGATGTATGTGTGTGAGGTTTTGTAAAAGTAATACGTCTAATTTCAATAAAATTGGCAGTATTCAATATTTTGATAACTGTGTTCAGTGTTTTGCTACAATGGTGAGGACTAGACAGGACATGAGCGATATTGGAGAATTTGGGAAGACCTCATAGAGATGGTGGACATACTGAAAAGCTATTAAAAATGCAGACTTTTCAAACTGCAAAGGAGAGTCGATGGTGGATGTGGTATGCTGTTTTACATTTTTTATTACCCCTTCATAAAGTTTTATCTCTTGGACATGTCTGGCTCCTTCTCATCGTCTGTGCTTGCTGGGGCAACACAGGACTGGTGCGGGGGGGGGGGGGGGGGGGCTGTGGGTCAGTAGGTATCTGACCCACAGCCCCCTCCCCCTTGGACATAATGCACAAGTTTATGTTTTCCCATGCTCCTTAAGGACCGGGAACATGGTGCGCAGTAAGCCCCGGGCAGGGCTGGAAGACTCTCCCCGGAGCCTTCCTCACTATTTTTGTCATGCACACTCTTCGCGAGGTAAGCGTGTCTGAGTGTGCTCTACCAGCCAAGTAAACTGCGGTCCCGTCTTCCCTATGGCGTTATATGTGTGCCTCTATGAGCACGCAATGAAACATGTTGGGCATAGAAAATGCGATTGAGCGAGCACTTGAACATTTTTGAGCACAGAGAAATATATTTTCTCTCATAAAACTCCTGCTCCGTGCGCAAGCAGACCGCTGCACGCGCTCTCTCGACCTCTCCACCCTTGATTGATTGATTGAAAAGTTTATTAACAGCTTGTATATTGGGTACAGTACGGTACAGCTCAAAACATACAATTGTTAAGGGGATGCAGACCAGAGAAAGACTTTCGTCTTGTTTACATCAGGGTCCCCCATTTCCAATTAATCATATCATTTAAGACATATTTGACATACAGATGGCTTATTTACAATTTACATACAGGTGTTTTTTTACATACAGATTGCTTATTTACAATTTTCATTTTAGATTTCGTTCTAATACATCCTAACCGGACATTTAAGACATACCAAGTCTACAGATATACAGTTAGTAACAGAGTCTAAAATGCGAGTATATACATAGATGGGGGGGGGGGGGGAAGCTGTCCATTGAACGACAGGTTGAGATTTGTACCATTACCGGGGCCAGTTTTGCAATGCTCTCCCCCGAAGGTGCTCTTTAAGAGAGGTTTTGAAGGTAAGTATAGTTTTTACTTTCCTTTACAGTTGTGGGAAGAGCGTTCCACCTTGATGTGGCATAATTGCGAAACGTGTATTCCCCCTTTTTTGTGCCAAATCTGGGTTTCACATGATTTGTGGAGCTCCCTCTGGTGTTATGATCATGGTATTCCTTGACCTTTGGGAAGAATTTTGACATGTACATGGGTACCATAGAGGTGTAGTGGATCTTGTAGACCAGGCCCATTGCAAGTAGCTGTACTCTGTCGTCTACTCTAAGCCATCCTAGGTTGTCAAAGTGGGCAGAGGTGAGGTGGGTTCTAGATGAAAGGTCAAGCAGTAGTCTGACCAGTTTATTTGCGATGTTTGAAGTTTTATTTTTAGCGCCTTGGAGGTGCTATGGTACCATGACGTGCAAGCATAGTCATAGTACCCTTGAATGAGTGCTCCTGCCAGAGTTTTCAGGGTGTTTTTGTTTACCAGAGAGGAGATCCTGTGCACGCTCAAGTTGTCACAGCGTTACAAATGTGCCACAAAACCAACCAATCGGAGAACTCGAGAAGGTCAATTCTGCTGGTCGTCTCCAGAGCCATATAATAGAAGAGTTATGACAACGGAAGTCCAAAAACGGTTATCGTCACGTGGTTCATGTAGAAGAGGATCGTTCCCCGGAAGTTCATGGCGGGCAATGTGAATGCATTGATAACAGGAGATAGAACTGCGATTTTTGGTAATTATTAGTGAATAAAGGTTTTGATTTGCAATATTTATACAACAAATCGATATGTGTATGTATTTACATCAATATGTTTTAAAAAATAAAATAGAATTTGCTAATATTAAGTGATAATATTAGGATTAGTGTGAACTAGTTTACATGTTAGGCTAACAGTGCCTTGGTTAAAGAGCCTGTTGCTGTTTATTTATAGCTTTGAATTCTTTAAAACCAATATTATCTTCTTAAACTTGTATGGTAGTCAGGAGCATCATTTTCTAATGTTTATTGATATATTTAGAGGGAGGGGATCTAAAGTAATGCTTTAAAATTCAAATTAATGTCTACCATTTTCTTAAATTCATGGTAGTTTCAGTAATCCCATGGTAATTGAGGACACAAGTTATCTAAATGACTAATGTCATCTTTATGGCTTTCAGAAAGGACAGGAGACCGACAGGTGACTATCAAAGGACTAGCAGCAGCAGCATGATGATGATGATGATGATGATCATGATGTTAAATGTGTTGTTTTAGGAACATCCATTGCAAATACATGGAATTCAATAAACATTGAATAGCATATCATGCAGTTTGTCTGTGCCTTTTCCTCCGTGTTGTCCTGGTTTGCTGTGCTGCCTCCTAGTCGCCACCATGGTTTGCTGTGCTGCCTGGGGATGCTCCAATCGCTCAGAGAAAGGAGTATGAATGTACAGCTTCCCCACTGACACAGAGCGGAGGAAGCAGGAGCAATTTCACGACCAACAGCAAAAAAATATGTGATTTATATACAAACACTGCATTTGCACTTTTTCACAAAACGAAAACCACACCATTGGGAAAGCTTAATGTTTTGTTTAATACAAAAAACAGGGAAAGGCTTGAAAAACACTGAGAGTTGAGACTCAGGGTGCAGGGTGAGGGTCTCAGTGCAGGTATTCAGGCTCCATTGAATCCCCCTCTGGTTCTTGTTCTGAAAGAGGGAGTAACAGACAGGAGAAAGGGTTATACACACCTATATAGCACACCTATTGGATGGGAAATTGCCTTGGGGAGATAAGGTGTGGTCTTTGTTCCCAACTGAAGTTATGGAACTTTATTATTTGTGAGTTTAACAAAGTATGACAAATGGCATCAGTAACATATGTGATATGAATTTCTATAAAGTTGTCTCACATTCTTGGTCATATTGTATATACAGTATGTAATGAGTATAACATGTCCAGTAAGTATAAAGTGTTTCCTAATACTGTGTATTCAACCACTATGGAATATGTATGTGGGCAGACAAAACTGAGTTGTTCAAGTCACTCCGCAGGCACATTTTGATGCAGACCAGTTTGTCAAGACAAAAAAGGGCAAGACTAGGCTGAGAGCAGAGGCTATACCCACCATCTTCGTGCATCGCCCTGTGGTCAAAAAGAGAAGGGCCCCTGCACCACGATTCACCCCGGGACCTGTATCTACAAAGCCCATAGCTCATGATCACAGCGATAGTGTGAAAGGTGACATAGGTATAATCAGACCCGGCGCCAGAACAAATCTAAAGGGAGGGCCTATGATTTTCATGGGGGGGCACACAAAACCGTCACGTGCTGCGGGCCTGCGGCACAATATATTTCAAACAGCAAGGCCAACAGCATTGCGTAAAGACGCACACTTATCGCAAACATACACAAATAAAGGGCAACATAGCAACCACTTTGAAACATTGTGTGCGTGGCAGCACAAACACTGGTAAATCACGAGCAAGGTTGACAGCTAAAAAAGCTATAATATAAACGACAGCTGACACGTAATAACGGCTCCGTGCAGCTGATCTGCACCAAAGTACTCATTTCCTTATGTGTTTCCTCGCGTATCTGTCTCTCTCTCCACAAACTCTCACATGAAATGTGTTCTTTTGATGCGGCATGCCTTAGCAGTCCTTTATCAGTCTGTAATGCGTGTTTCCAGTCGCAAAAACCTTTGACAGTAAAAGCCGCATCAGATGAAGACGTATTCACTTTAAACTGTCTACAGGGGAAACAAAAGGCTGCGTCTGCTTTTAACAACTCTTCAAGCCATGGTCTGTTGTGTACCATGCAGCGGCAAAAGTGCGCTTCTTTCCTGAAAATCTCCCTGGATAACGATCCAGCTTCACCTGCTTGGGTTTATTAACCCCAAGATCATCGCTAACTCAGCCCCGGGGTTTGCCGAGGTCAAGCTTGTGACATTAAGGCGTGCTGCTGCAACGTCAGGTGCAGGGTCGCCAGCAGCACCATCGGCTGCAGTTCTTTCATCGCTATTTCGTTTTAATACATCCTTAGACCTTTTGAGCCAATTTCTGATGTCCATTTTGTAATGCAAACAGAAATGGGAGTCTACAGAATGCACAATAAACAAATCCAGAATAGGCGGCAGAGTGTGACGCTGTGATTGGTCTAAATGGGGACGAATCACAAATCACAGACACATGCATTTATTTGACGTAGCCTGCGATTTTTTTTGTTTGTTCTGACATCACATACATCGTAGCATAAAAGTTCACAGTTTATTTATAATTAAAAAAATAAAAAATATTTTTTTTTTAATTTTTATAAATAATAAAAAACGTGTTTATTGGGGGAGGGCAGGAATGTCAAATGGGAGGGCCTGGCCCGGCCTGGCCTCGCCGGGCATGGGTATAATAAGTATGAACTCTTAGTAACAAAAGTAATATTTCTTATTTTTAAGTGGTATAATATTTTAAATGTTCGAACATTTACAGTGCCATGTCTTCTACTTACATTAGTCTCAAAGATTGAGGGAAGAAGGGAAGGGATCACTGCCCTCCACCTGCCACAGGAGCGCAAACAACAAAAACAAGCAAGGTGTCCCGTCATGTACCTGGAAGTTTGGGTTGGCAAAATGGAGTAAGAGAGGGACTTGAAAAACCTTGGTGGCTGTCTACCCATGTTGTTACAGTTGTCTTGGTTACAGATCTCAAGTTTTGTGCCATTTCCACATCTTTAGAAAATATGAAAAAATTGAAGTGAAATCAACCTCATCTCTGGAGAACAAACTTCGATTTCTCTGTCTTGTGAGTTTGCAGTCTTGCAGTTTTGCTCCTCCACCTGTAACATCACTGCCCCTCCACCTGCCATACAGTAGGTTACTAACAAGATTACTTAT